AGGCTATTGGGGAAGAGATACGAGGTGTGTGTTGAGGCGACTGTCCTGGGGTGACTTACGGGCCTAGCAGCCCCCATGCGTACTGGTTAAACTAACTCTGGTCCCTCCTGATCCCCCCCCCATCCCAAAAGCAAAACAGCTCCGGTCTTGCAAAGGATCAGGTTGTCAGGCAAGAATATGATGCATGTTGTCATTTCTCTGCAGGAGCGGTGGGTGTGAAAAAGCCTTCTTTCAGTATATAGACATTTGCACTTTTTATTACCGTCAGTTCCCACATTACCAATTTCATTTAGGGGGATCTGCTTTTTCTAATGAAATCAGATAGAACATGAATGCGTCCAAATTGTTGTCTGTACATATTGTACGCTGCACCAAGGTGAAAGTTTGTCAAGGTACAATGTGGATGCAAGGAACAAAGTATCTTCTCTATGGAGCTGACATTCCTGTGGGCTGGGTGTGTATGATGCAAAACATCGGTACTTGTAGCTTACCTGTCCGCTGTTCCATGTTTCACATGCTGCAGGACTATCTGTTATACTTGGAAGTAGGATTTTATAATCACACTACCATGTGTTGAACTTTGAAATTCTGGAGACCTGCAGTGTTCTTGTCACTGTTCTTGTTCTTCATAACGTGTAATAATAAAAAGTGGTTTAAGTGGATATGAATTTTATTTATTTAATTTCTATGGCACTCTGTTAGTGCAATTCAGGCTTCTGGGCAATTCACAATATAACAAAATAAACAGACATATAACAATAAACATATAAATGAACAGTGAAAGGAGTTTAAACAGTTGAAAAATTAAAAGCCAATGGCACCAAAACCACATTATTAATTTAATTGTAATTACATAATTTTAAAAAAAGTAGGGACTAGGGAACTCCTAGTTCTTAGCACACTCCTTCAGCTGCTGCCATTACTGTATGTCCCATCACAGTTATAACACAATAACTACTCCCTAATTCAATAGGACCCTCGAAGTGTGATTTGCCATTGATTATGCCCCTATGATTTTCTTCCATCGTGGTTGTACTGAAGAACTGCAATACAGAGTGAACCAGATAAGATTCTTGTATACCAAAGTTCCTGCGAAAATTACTAGTAGAGATGGGATATTCACATTTGTCTCCCAGGGGAGATGAATATGACTATTGTCACTACAGATGACCAGGCCCTTTCAACCCTTCCCCCAGAACCAAACTGGACCATTATCTGCAGGATATGGCTTTAAAGTGGCTTCTGGATTTGAAATAGCAAACAGTTACATCCAGTTTTAGAGCAGACAACATTGAAACCAAAGGGAATTGCATGAGCAGACAACACCATACATTTCAACTGGCCTCTTGCAGTCATGGCTAGAACTGGATTTAATTCAAAGATATGATGAAAAAATGGTCCTTCCTATGCCTGCCGCCTATGTTTCCTATAACTCGAGATGTTGAAGACTCACTGGAACGTTCTGCATGTTGGTGCCCATCATACAATCTTTTCAGTGAAAAAAACATTGTTTTAAACCATGGCATGGAAAGTCGTGTAAAACCATATTAAATATGCAGAATATTCACAGCTGCTCAAGCAGAAAATTTCTTGCCAGTTTCAGCATTGCCCCATCAAATGAAAATAAGATTTACTGTTAGATACTATTAGAGAAATACATGCTAGAAATTAGAGATGGGATATTGGTATTCATCTCCTGGGGGACATGAATACAAATATCAGGACCAGAGGTGTCCTGGCCTTTTCGACCCTCCCCAGTGAGTCTTCAGCAACTTATTGTATCTTTGAATTAAATCTAATTCTAGCCATGATTGCAACAGTCAGTTTACAATAATGGGTCTTACCTTTAATTTATTCCTGGCTGGAATCTTACTGATACTTTGTATGAGGTTAGTGTAACTTGCTAGAGCTAATTGTAGCTAATCAGTGAGGTGCCAGGCCACACCTTAGTTTTGTAATCAGGTCGTAGCACCTTTCTAAGTTAGATGAAATTAGCTACAGCACATTAAGCAGACCTTATATGAACACCAGTAAGATTCTGGCAACAGTCTTTCCCACTTCAGCTTTCCTGCTGTCTCTGACATTCTTTTCTTTGCTCTACTTCTCTCTCTCTCAGGCTTTTTCAAAAAGAAAAATTAAAGAAGAATGATATGGGCAATGTGGTGTGACTAACTCAGGTTAATCCACACTCTAGTTTTGATCCAAGCCAGTAACAGAAGAATGATCTTATGCAGGAAATTGCCTTAGGCAAGAAGTAGATGTCAGAGCTGCTACCAGACTTGTTTTCTGAGAAGTGAGGAGCCCAACATTTTGTCTTCATTTCACCAAGCATTGCTAGATGTTCCTAGCCAGTGATGCATTGACCTGCACTCTCCAGCTTGAGACTGAGGTTAATCGCAGGTCTCTTAGCGGAAAACATTCAGCCTAATTTCTGGACTTCCATACCTCTCCCCACCCATCCCCAGTTTGTTTGTTTGTTTTGCTTACAGCCTGATGAAGGGTTCTGGAGAATTCAAAGTTTGCACATTGTAGCTGGTCCCAGTAAAAGTATTGGCTTCTTATGGATCTTCTTTGTTGGTCAGATGCTTAACTGACACATTTTGTTGTTGGTTCCTTCAGAAATGCTCTTCTGGTTCTACAACCTGATACTTTCCAGAGGCACTTAAATCCTACAATCTGATTCCTGTTTCGGGATGGTGGGGTTTGTAATCCAAGATGTATGGAATTCACCAGGCTAAGGAAATTGCCATATAGCGTTTATCTAACAACCAGTATTGTTAGCTGTGTTTTGCCACTGGTCCATTGTATCTCTTCTCTCATATTCCACTCACCTTCACCACCATGTAGGTTTTTCACTTATATTTAAATGCTGTGGGGATTGTTCAAGAGATAGTCAGATAAAATGTGAGAAAATCCTGTCAGAATGTCCTTTAAAATGCCTTTAGAAACAAATTTTTAAAGTGGCTAGAATAGTTACTCATTTTTATATGCACAAAATATAAATTTAAACATCAGTTAGCTGCTTGGTATACATTTACACATTGCGAACATATAATTTAAGTAACATTCTTGAAGAATTAGAATACCATGTATCACTGAACTTAATTGATAGCGAAGTAGAGGAACAGAGGATTGAAACCAAAGACATTATCTGGGAAGAATGCAAAAAACCTAAAAGAATATAAAATCCTTAATGGATGATTGATGAAAAATTGTTACTGGCATATGAGAAGTCAAAGCAAATGGTAACAGAAACAGAGTCAAAATCCTAAATGGAATTTTACAGTGACATGTATAGAGACCAAGAGAGCTTTAATAATAGTCAAGGCAAAAAGCAGTAAGGAACAATAAAAAAGAAAGAAAGAAAACTAGGGTATGTCTCTAGTGTTAGGCATCCTTCAGTCTCGAAAGACTATGGTAACATGGAGGACTTGGAACAGCGTCTAGTGTGGCTGAGGAGGCCGATTCAAGAGTGACAATCCCACACTGAAGACAAATACAATCTGTCCCCTGTCCAGATCCCTGATTTTGCTGCTTTTGTGACTTCCTCTTTGCCTCAGCCTGCTGGACAAGGGTCTCTTCAAATTGGGAGAGGCCGTGATGCAACGCCTGTCTCCAGGCTGAACGCTGAGATGAGGGTTTCCCATCTGTTGAGGTCTATTCCTAAGGCCTTCAGATCCCGCTTGCAGATGTCCTTGTATCGCAGCTGTCGTCTCCCTCTGCGGCGATTTCCCTGCACTAATTCTCCATACAGGAGATCCTTTGGAATCCGACCGTCAGCCATTCTCACGATATGCCCAAGCCAACGTAGACGTCGCCGTTTCAGTAATGTAGATATGCTAAAAATTCCAGTTCATTCTAGGACTACTCTATTTGGAACTTTGTCCTGCCAGGTGATACCAAAAATCTGTCAGAAGCAACGCATATGGAATGTGTTTAGCTTCCTCTCCTGCCGTGCACAATGGGTCCAGGACTCACTGCAGTACAGGAGTGTGCTCAGGCCACAGGCTCTATAGACCTGGATCTTCGTCAGCTTCTTATTGAGCCATACTCTCTTTATGAGTCTAGAGAACATGGTAGCTGCTTTACCAATGCGTTTATCCAGCTTGACATCTAGAGAGAGTGTGTCAGAGATCGTTGAGCCAAGGTACACAAAGTCATGAACAGCTTCCAATTCTTGCGTGGAGATGGTAACAGAGGGATGTGAGTCCACGCCCTGGCCCATGACTTGTGTTTTCTTCAGGCTGATTGTTAGTCCAAAGTCTTGGCAGGCCTTGCTAAAACGATTCATGAGTTGTTGGAGGTGTTCAGCAGAGTGGGCAACAATGGCTGCATCATCTGCGAAGAGGAAGTCCCGCATGCATTTCAGTTGGACTTTGGTCCTTGCTCTCAGTCTAGAGAGATTGAAGAGCTTTCCGTCTGATCTAGTCCGGAGATAGACACCCTCGGTTGCAGTTCCAAAGGCATGCTTCAGCATGACAGCAAAAAAGATCCCAAAAAGTGTTGGTGTGAGGACACAGCCCTGTTTCACTACGCTTCGGATGTCAAAGGGATCTGATGTTGAGCCATCAAAAACTACAGTACCTTTCATTCCCTTATGGAAGGACCTGATGATGTTAAGGAGACGAGGTGGACATCCAATCTTGGGAAGTATTTTAAAAAGGCAATCCCTGCTAACCAAATCAAAAGTCTTTGTGAGATCTATGAAGGGCACAAAGAGTGGCTGTTGTTGTTACCGGC